ATATTCTAGTGGAAGTTTTAATAATAAAACAATAGTCGTGTTTTTCACTGTCTTCTATAAACTTAAAACAAAAATTTTAAAAAAATCAAATCAAACAATATTAAAATGTGTTTCAAAAGTAAAAGAAAAAAATTATAGTGAAAAAATAATACGTAACATCAAATCTTGTGCTTTCTTTATTCAGGGCAAAATAAAATCATTAATTATAACACGCCATATATAATTACTATATAATTATTTTCTATCAATAAAAATTCAAAATCAATACCCTCATCACTTAATTAAAATCTATGCTTCAAAACAAAATTTATGATATAATATTTAAATTGACAAAAATAATAATAAAATTTGTTCGTGTATTTAATTACATTGCTTAATTAAACTTTCAAATTTTCATCCAAATATTATAAATGAAAAGGACCGGCTTTAAATTTTTTATTTTTTATTTTTATGATCCTTTTATTTTATCTAAATACCTTTTTTTTTTCATTTATATGATCTTCTTTCTCATTTATTTTGTGTGATCATTCTCATATTTACATATAAATGAAGTTTAAGTTGTTAGATAGAAATTGTACATACAATTAATATTATTTGAGAGGAATGTTTTCATGGGTATTATTTTTTAAAAAATTCTTTTAAAGTTAAAAATAATTAAGTCACTTGTAATGCAGAAATTAAAGGTGTCTATATGTACATGATAATAATTTAGAATTCAGTTTTTAAATTAAAAAAATGCGGATTGACACTAGATCAACCTGTAGAATTGACTACCAGGAGATAATGAATAGGAAAAAAAGTGATAGCAAAAATATTGTTAAAGTAATTATTGGTCACTACATTTTTTCATCAAATTGTTGATTTTACTGATTTTTTTGTCAAAGTATGCTTATTAATAAAGTAAACTCACACATTAAGGAATTTGTTAAAGTTTGGTTTTTGACAATTATTCAACATCACAAATGTGACTTGTAAGAATGTGACTTGAATCAATAATACACCAATTATTGTGTGAAGAAATTGAAGAATGTGGTTTGAATCAGTCGTACATTGACTATCATGCAAAACAAAACATTGAAGATGTGACATTAATCGTTCTTACACTAACAAGTGCAACAATGTGAGTAAATTCGATAGTAGATTAGCTATCGTGTGAAGACATTGAAGACAAGAGACTTGAATTGGTCATACTTGCAAGCACGACATGAATATAATCAGTTGTACATCAATTGTCGCGTGAGGACCAATTTAGGAATTTTATAAGGATTAACAACTTGAAAGGCAAAAATAAAAATCAAGATTAAGGTTTGGTTAGATTAGATTAGAATAAGGGGAATCAAGAACGATTGAAATTATAACCTAGGATTGCTTATTATGACCGATTAGAATTACTTTTTCTAATGAAAAAGTTTTACTACATGAGGCTAGTTTGCACATCAAAGTAATATGTTTGGTTTTTGTAACACTATATGATTGTTAATCTTAATTAATTAATTATATGATATATGTTGTTAAATTGTTGAATTGTTATATTTATTGTTGTTTTAGAGCTTTAAGAGTTAAGGGATCCTTGAGAGTTAAATTGTTGTTAAGGTAGTTTTAGAGCTTTATGTGTGGCATCATCAAGAAATATTTGTTCCAAGTTTTGTGATGGGTATGCCTCATCTTCACCCATGTCATAAAAGTCTCTAGGTTTCAAATGAATCGGTATGCTCCAACCTTGTTCTTTCTCATCCTCTACATAATAAACCATTTGAGCTTCAGAAGCTTTAATGTATGGTTCATCATCATTTTTTTTACCAGTATGTATTAGTCTTTCAAAGTTAACAAAGATAAAAACCCAACTTATCTTCCTTCATGCCTCTTGAAGTAGTGGTGTCAGCCCATTCACATTTAAACATGGGTACTGTGAACCCGTTATAGAAAATCTCAATGATATCTATCAATCTTCCATAATATGGCACCCCTCCAAATCACATTTGGGCATCATTATTGCTTGAGTAGCATTTTGTTCCAAATGTGCCAAAAAATCCACTATTTTGAGTTTTTAAAAATTTGTCTCGTGTTAAGGTTCGAAATTTGTATTCATTAATATTAAATGATGTGAACCTTCTAACTCGGTCAAAAGGACCTT